TAATTTTCCACCTCGAGAGTAAAACAAAAAAAAATAAAACACTATACCAGCTCGGAAAGTGCATTATTCCTTTTTTTGTTAAATGAAGAAGCTCATTATTGTTGTACTAATAAGTAAGCTGGAAAAGCGTATGGAAATCCATTATTAACGCGCTGAGCAACGATAATAAATGCCCTATCGATCGTTGGCGCTGAGCCGGAAAAGAGCTATGAAAATTCATTACTACTCGTAACGTCCTCATTTTTTGATTTATGTTCCGAAAAACCAAGTGGTCAGTATCACTTTGTAGACATAGCGAAATATTGTTCTACTTATATGTTATTTGCTATCTAAACATTAATTTTGAAAAAAAATTTTAAGAGCTTTTTAATTTGTTTTCCTATCTACTCAGACGGCTTATATTACTGATAATGAAGATTTATTGACACCGAATTACATAAAAGAAACTACTTGAGAATCTTTTAATCGTGAAATCAAGTCCCGCGTATTAAGGTTATACCCTCGGTCACTCTCCTCTGGCTGCACAATGTACTATTGAAAATCGGCCCATAATAGGGAATATGCAAGTTTATTTTTTTGTTTAGTATTTTCATCATGCCAGCCTAAAAGTAAGAGATTATATAAAAATAAAATGAGGCTTCTTTGAATTACATGCGTATTTCTTATTAACGGAGATATAGCGTAATAAATATACAAAAAAAATACAAGAGAAATTGAGAACTTCCTACTTTTTGAAGTCGGTTGAAAAGGTTCCTAAGGGGCTAACTAACGAAATTACGGTTAAAAGCCACACACCTATATTAATAAATAGATCCTGTATATAGGTACCCTTTTATAATAACTGTGTTCACATGTTAGATTACAAAGATTGGTTTTCCTGTCTGACTCACGCCATATCATGAAAACTTGTCGACATAAAAAATACACTTGTTCTTGGTAGTACAATTGGTAGCCATCATCCTATCATAACCTCTCATAACGGTGACTAACATGCTAATTGTTATGCTTCCCAACCGCGACATTTCTTGGGAAGTCCGAAATTGGCGTAACGATATTTTATGTATATTGAAATTATGGATATGACGATACGGCGTATTCGCAAATGTTTCTTATTTCAGAGTCATCATCATCAGCCTATTAATGTCCCCACTGCTGGGGCACAGGCCTTCCCTATGGATGGAATAGGGAGATTGGGCCATGACCCACCACGCGGGCCCAGTGCGGATTGGTGGGTGCTAACGACTGCAGATGCAGCCAACGGCTTAACGTGCCTTCCGAACCACGGAGGAGCTCGAGATTAATTTTTGGTCACCCATCCAATGACCGACCACTGCGAAAGTTGCTTAACTTCAACGATCGCAGCCGAACGCGCTAACCACTTGCGCCATCGACCTCCTCAGAGATGTCAGAGTAGTGCAATATAAATGTTTTATTTGTACAAAAATTACAAAATAATTTATCTCACACCTTTATTCCGACTGGGAATGTATTTAAAACACGAGATTCAATATGTATTATGTTGTATTTGAAACGTAAGATACAGTAAACACATAATTAAATCTAAGAAAATTTTAGTACAAAAAAATTCTCTCGGGCCAGGAAGCAGACGGGGCTTGATCCCGCACTCTCATCTAAATAAATATACAGTTTTTGAATATTTTTATTTAAAATACAAATTATGAAATACATTTAGATTAAAATTAAAGAACATTTTAATCCGACCAAAATTGCAATTCGTAATGAATATTCGTTTCCCCTAAGTAATAAGAAGGACTGTCTATTGCACTTTATTTTATCATATTGTAGACGAGAATTTTTAGGGCTATTATAATACCACTTGTTTGTCTACAAACGATTCTAATATCGTAACCTTTCAACTCCTAACTTTAGTGCAAACATTGTAATCGACATCTACAATGCGACCACCAGTGATATATAATATATATTATATATAATTATGTGATTTGGGTAAAGCAAACACGAATATGTACTCAAATATTTTAAGAAGTAAACACAGAACAATTACGCGGCGAGTATATATAAATACTCCACCCGTAATACTTGTGATAAGACAATGCTAAACGCATATTTTCTTAGTGACAGCCGCATTATCTATTGTTTCAACGAAAAACTTATAATATAGAGGGAACGCCCTAGTAACTTCAATGAGTCATAAGCAATTCTGAAAATATCGCATTTTTTAAAGAAATGTAGGGTACAACCATAAGTCACAGAAATCTTCGCATCTTCTCGAAATCGAGCGTCTGTCTAAACAATTATAACAAACTTTTGTATTTTGTCTAGCCTAGGTCATTGGAATGGTTCCGGGGGCGTGCTCGGAGATGTGGCGCACACAGGTGCGTCGGCCCCGAGACCGCCCCCATATGGGCGTAGTAGGGTACCGGGGGATTTTAGTGGAGTAGGATCAGTGTGGCCTTCCGCACTGGTCCTGCTTGAGTAGGGTCGGCACTGTTTCCCGTGCCGGCGAGTCCCACACACGCCGTGCGCCTAGTCAGCGTCACGGTATGGTGCGTAACTGCATTTCCCCTCGTCACAAAAAAAAAAAAGGTCATTGGAATGGTTAGCAAAATACGGCCTGCGAACTACTTCCGGCTCGTGACGAGGGTAAATCCCACGGAATACATATAAGATTTGTTGGTATATCCGCCTATTTAAAAATAGTTTTGAACTGGTAAGGTGTTTGGATTTACAGCCTCATTGTCATTTAACTATTGATTAAAAAATATGATTGCGTCGTTTAAGCCGGCTCACCGTAAAAAATATCCGCATTATCACAAAAAGTTAGTTTGCGTTCGATAACAGTTTAAGAAAAGAAATTATGTAAAATTTTCCTAAACATGCTTTAAAACCGTTTTTTGTAACCCAACCGTATACTTATAACTTAATCTATTATGTGGTTCACTTAAAACTTATTCAAATACATTGAAAGTAAATATTTGGGCTCGGGCCTATTTGACACGGGCGTACCACCGACTGTTTTTTTTTTTAATTTCTTTAGAAGCCCTGCCTGTTTGAATCCAAACTTCTACCCCACGGAACCGTGGAACCTTACTCACCAACAGAAACAACACCGCTAAATTAGTGTTATTTTTTTTTAATTTTTTTTGGTTACATGGAAGACCAACAGCTTATCATAATATACTAGAAATGAATAGTAGCGACAAAGAGCCAATTACAGGTTCTCACATCTAGACATAACTTAAAGTTATAAAGAAACTATTTGCACTGTCCAATGTAAAAAATCTCTTAAATAAAGTTTTATAAATGAGGTACTTGTTGTTTTGTTTTACTCTAATCTTTCGTAAGGCGGAGATTACTTCCGCAGACCTCTCTTTTTGTTTGACGACCTTCGTGGCCGAGTGGTTTGTACGCCGGGTTTCATGGTGTCGCCGACTTGAGAGGTCCCGGGTTTGAATCCCGGTGGGGGCAGATGTTTGTGTGATGAATACGAGCATTTGTACTCCAGTCATGGATGTTTAATATGTATTTCTATATAAATATACTTATATATGTACAGTATATGTATTCTATCCGTTACCCTAGCATCCCATAACACAAGCCTTTACAGTGCTTACTTTGTGCCTAGGCTAATTGGTGTGAGTGTTGGAAATATTTATTAATTTTACGTTAAAAGAGTGGCAAAGAAGCGTATGGCCCTCCTGATGGTAAGCAGCCACCATAGCCTATAGACGCTTTCGGTACCAAAAATATCACTCACGTCGTCTTCTACCCTGACCCAATTCCCTACCTCGTGGAGCCTTGGAACCTTAGGCTCGTATTACAGAATGACAACTAAATGTTAATCTTTACTTGAGTACAGTTAGAAAGGGATGTCGCTATGTGCTATATATAGCATTATCCTTTTCTGACTATGCTCAAGACTAGATTCATTACTGAGAATCTTTCTATAATACGGGCCTTAGTCTCTTATGTCAGGTTGAAGATGCTCTCCGTCTCCAGTGCAAAGGAGATTGCTCAAATTGGCCCAAATGCACAAAAAATATTGACATACACGGTAATTCTTGGCGTAATTTATAATTTAATTTACAGTCATTAGATTTCAACGGACACCTTTGTTTAATATATTTACTTTAAAAAGGACTTTTAATTGTACCGGCTTGGTTTAATGGCTATGGGTGTAGTAACATTCAGCCAAAGACTGATCGAAGTTGTTTATATAACATAAAAACAAATGTATTTTGTAAAGATCGATAAAATAAATCATTTTTTTTATTACGCTGTGGTATTAATATCCACAACTATATTATCATTTCCACTAGATGCAAATGTGCTCAGACAATTATTATAGATGGTAGGCGACATCATAAAGTCTATTGCCATACATTTTTCGCCAAACACCTCCATAAACACATTATAATCTGTATATATGTTAGACTTTAAGGTAAAAAAAATATAAGGTGTGATACACTAAAAATCTAAAATATGGTTATCTTAAAAACATAACAAAAATAATGAAGCTACTGAATATATGGCTTTAGAACCTAAATCTCTTAGCTTTCTTTGGTTAACGAGAGTTTAAAAATTCTCTAATCTGTGGCTCATTCACAATCATCACACAGTTTCTGTCACAGAGTACCTTATTTTTAAAAGTTACTCTTATGCATTAACTTTAAAAACAGGCATCTATCTGTTAATCTACATGCTCTATATACCTGAATCTAATCCATAATTTCGGTACTTGGCTTGTTTTCCCTAGTTTACTATATAACTTATTTGTTTTTTATTATTTTAACATGTTCAGTGTATATGGTTTATAGAAGTTCTCAGGGGTGTCCGTCAATAATATTCATTTCTACAGTAATTTATTTATAATTTCGAATCAAGGAAACAATTTCTCATGATTATTGGTCTTTAGGCCAAACATGTATGGAAGCTGAGCAATCTCCTTTCCGCTGTGCCCTTCTACTTTTTCTCATGGGTTTCCATCACTTACAATTATTGTAATCAATTTTTTTCAGTATGACAAAGACAACGACGGCAAGATCTCGTACGTGGAGCTCAAGCACATCATCGAGTCTCGAGAGTATGAGCACGACTTGCCGGACAACGTGGTGGACAAGATCATGAACCTCGCCGACAGAGACAACTCGGGCTATCTGGACTTCAACGAGTTCGTCGACATGATGCACCATCCTGACTTGAAGGCTGTGTTCGGACATTTCGTGGCGAGATACGTGCACTCGATCATACCGCATCGAGACCCGGTAGACACTACAGGTAGGTACATTATTATTGGCATGTTGACTGTCTGTTGTTTATCTTGAATGTTGTCTGCGCCTGTTTAGACCTATTTCCCACTAGGAGTTCTAGGTGATCACGCAGCCAATTATTTGGTATACCTACGGTAAGGACCTTGCTTGATGCCCATAGGATAGTGTTGTACAAGAAATGCAAATAATCCATAAAAAGACTGGATGTGCCGCTGCGCTCCTAGTGTCCTAGAGAGAAATATGTTTAGTCAGCTCAAGGGTTGACCTTATTTTTTAAATTAAATATCCTTAAAGTACTTTTTGAGTAAAGTCTAAATAACTGTTTTATTTGACCCTTCTCTGCTATTATGAGCAAGAATATCCAACTACAAATTCATCCAAGTTATTTTAGTTCAGTTAAACACGTGTTGCGAAACAACAATATTTAATACGCGGAAATGATTGAAAAGTTACGTTCGAGCTCAATAACGTAACAGGTAAATGGATATGCTTCTTAAACAAGCTATGTACAATAGAATAATAGTGTTTGTATGAAAAGTAAATAACAGCCAATTGTTTACTCAATACATTCAATTGAATATGAATATAATTCCATTCTTTCACAGTTTTCATCTTCAGATTATTGGTAAATAAAAAATAAGGTCTGACCAATGAGCTGCATTATCTTATTCTTCTATAATTTATATTTTTTTCTTATTTTAATAGTATTAAAATCAATTATTCCTTTAATGAAAGTATTTTTAAACAACCCAATGTGCTATCGAACAAATTGATTCCTGACCCATTTGCCTGATAATTTGCTTAAAAATGACAAAACAGACAACTTTTTCTTTTTCTTCATTAGAGAATGTGCAATTGCACTTAGGACCTTCTTAGAAGGAAACTATATCAATGTGGATCAAAGATTTTTGAAATTTTACCTCTATTTTTAATCCAATAAATCATGTAAAAGATAAAAACTGAATAGTAGTTTGAATGTAGAAGTCAATGTAAAAACGTAAATGTAACAGAAACTTTCGATTTCTTTAGTCTTATGAGCTAAACTCCAAAATGTAACATCAACATCACAGGAAGGCATCAAAATCGGCCACGTCAAATAAAATTTTTCAGAAAATAACATGTTGGTTTTATAGTTTGTTTATATAAATACAAATAACAAGTTTGTTTCCAGAAATACGTACACATAAAAGCGAAAATGTATTGCAATAATTATAAGAAAATAAGCACAAGCTGGGTTAGGATTCAAATTGGCGGATAGTACATTTTGCAATTTTCTGTACAGGAATCTTATTTTTTAATTATATTAAATACTTTTAGTAAAGGACCAACAAGTTTTTTTTTGTTCTATGTAGTCATGTACTTTGTAGTATGATATGAGAATGCTGTATAAAGTTGTGGCATGTAAATAAAATTAACTGTGCATAAATTAACACCGTGTAACTTGTGTACTGTTACATAAAGACTAATTTTCTTTGCTAGGACGGTGGCCAGGTTTCCACGCGGTATCGACGTACGATGGCGGTACTATTTTTATTTAATTTCCTATTACCATGTCCATATTCCATATTGGGGTTCATTCGTCATGGTTTTGAGTACATTTGTCATTGGCGCTTCTATGTGCTGTCATGGTGCTAAGCTCATAAGTATTTCTATGGTCATACTCATGTCACTCCATATCAGCTTATAAATATTTGTCAGACAGCTGAAAATGTAAGCCAGATATGTTGGCCAAGTAAAGGCCACTAGCAACGTATAGACAGCATATTTGTCTTGCCTTGTTAACTCTCGGTGTCGCTTGCCTAATTTGCCGAGTTAAGGGACGCGCCGACGTGTATAGATCTCATTTTGTCGACGTCGCTCGCCAACATTTGTCTCACGTTGTCGTCCATAATAACCGATAGCGTATGGGCAGCTCTGCGATACTCGTCTCTATACTATTGGCCACTTGCATAAGTCTTCTTCAAGCTTGCCAAACGTTAAGACGGTAGCACTAGGTTTGCCAACCTCTCTATATAATATAGTATCCTACTATAGTTGGGGATCAAACTATACTTTATTTTGCTTAAAGCAGACTTTTACCAGTAAACGCTTTCTACAAAATAAAAACTTAATTATTAAGGCATATGACATCAAAAATATTCATTTCAAAATTAAAGTAAATATATTTAACCACATACTATATTTCTTAGCATTTTTTGACATCTACTATGTTTTTAGAGGTAACAGTTTCTATATTTCTTTGAAAAAAAAATCCAGAAGTAAGGACGGTTTCAGACTCGTTTTTTTCTACGCGTATAAGGTCGGCATACGCGCTCTCTCGCGCGCTACATTACGCGCTTCAAAAATTCGTACTCGCATACACGGGCATATTTCGGCTTGTACGATCAAACCGGTAGTGGAGTCTCTCGCGGAACGCGCATATACGAGCCTACAAGCGCATCAACGCTCGTACGAGTTACGCGTGTGGCAAAAGGTGCGCTTATACGTGATTACAGGCTCTTTCAAAAACAAGCTGATACGCGCGTATAAAACGCTAGTCTGAAACCGCCCGTAGATTACATAGCTTCAATTTGGTCAGTCAAATGTCTCACCAATCTGTAAACAATTTGTAGAGTCGCATTGTTGCGACTATTTACACGTTTGACACTTAATTGTTTGACTAAACAATTTTCAACTGTACACAGAATTGAAGTTACCGTTAACAAACAACTTAGTATTGGAGATAGCGGTCAGCTTTTTAAAGACGCAAAGTGCCGTAAGCTCTGCTTATTAATAGTCTACTTATTTATTTATAGGATCTACTGACATCGACGAATTGGATAACTAGTTGACAAACGTACCTATTGTAAAATATTTAACAAGCTGTTTTTCACAATTTTAATATCGCACATGAATGAGATCAAAACTAATTTTAACTTAAAAGCAATTTAACAGTTACAAACAACACAATCGTTCATCAAAACTGTGTTTTTATTAAGGTTTTTTTTTTCAGATTTCATTTGCGATTCGTCACTCATATTATAACATTCGTAGCTTGCAAAAAATAATAAGTACCTTTTACTCATTTTAGGGTTCCGTACCTCAATCGGCAAAATCTGAACCATTGTAGGATCACTTTTTGGCAGTCTCTCCGTCTATCTGTAAACCAAATACATAGTCTACGGCCCCTTGAAACTGTGAAAAAACAAACTTTTAAGTTGAAGTGAAAAAGATACGCCCGTTTATCTGCCTGCACGCTTTATCCCGGGAACACGTAGAGATATCAAGTTGAAATGTAAACCATATATAATGCGATTCAAATAAGAATAGGAAAGCCAATGACCTCTATCTGTCAAATGTCGCTTGAAAAGTACGGTTTGCAAAAAAAACATGGAACCCTTTTTTAGCACTCTGCTAATTCAAGAATAAAAACCAAACATTTGTAAACAAACAATAACAAATATAGATAATTAATATCGGTTGATTTTTTTTTCACTTATTGAGCTTTGGCCATGTACCAACCATTCCCTAAATCGTCAACCAAATGTCACTTTAAGTTGCGTTCAGAAACTCGATTTCAAACTTTCGTTTACATAAAGGATGCATGTTCGTATGTGACCTAGTAATAGTGCATGATTATTCATAACTACTACGGCGGTAATGCAGAGATGAGCGGAATAGAAGAGCTAGATTCTGATTCATGTTTTTTCTCACAGTCTTAATAAATAAATGTTATTAAAAATCGGTGGTTTCTATTCTCAATCTTAATAAATAAATGTTATTAAAAAAATCTGATGCATTTTCTCACTTAATCTTCTTAGTAAATAAATTTTATTAAATAAAAACTTTTTTTTGCTCACTGTACCTATTTGGATTGAATTGACAGCTATGACATCACAATATGGCGCCCAGTCGGTCCTATTCATAGTTGAATCACATTATACTCAGGTTTACAGTCCCTTGAATCACTGAAAAAATCAAACTTATGAGTTAACGTAAAAAGATAATACGGCCGTTTATGTTGCGTACCTACAAATTTGTACGGAACCTACAATTTGGTGAGCGAATGCGCCTCGCACTGACACATGCCGAAGGGCAATGAAACTGCATATTTAAAACGTCTAACCACAATTTTAATTAATTACCTACTCACATGAAATTATTGCAGAAAAGACGTCTATTAGTAATGGACCAATGTTCACGCAAACCACAAACATGATTCGTTTTAAGGTTCCGTACCGAATGGATAACATTAGATTAGAACCCTATTACTAGCCTCTGCTGTTTGTTCGTCCGTTCGTCTGTAACTCATTATAGGTACTCTTTCACACATTGTGGTAAAAATACATAAAAACATGCTAAGGAGAACCTCCTTATAAGATTTTTTCGACGTTTTTTCTCCACAATTCTTCTACAGTGGTATGAACCCGGAACCCTTCATGTGTGATTCCGACACGCTGTTGTCTAGGTTTTTATATTATATTTAAACCACAATTCAAAACGGTCATTGGATGGGTAACCAAAAATCCGTAAACCGTTGGTCCCGGCAGCATTTGCACTCGTTAGCACCCACCAATCCGCACTGGGCCGGCGTGGTGGGTCATGGCCGAATCTCCCTATTCCATCCATAGGGAAGGCTTGTGCCCCAGCAGTGGGGACATTAATAGGCTGATGATGATACTTAATTATTGTTTGTTCTGAAGGTTTCGGTCAAGGAGAAACGTTTTTCAACAGCTATTTTAAGACTCAGCTGTTTATTTTTTATAAAGCTACGTACCTATTGCGTACTTTTTATTTTATATCCAACCAGTGATTCACTATGCATCGGTGTCGTAAGAATAATTAGGTATACTTTTTTTCGGGATTTTATTATTATCATATCATACACAATAGGGAAGTTGCAATATTTTTAGTTTTGTTTTCATTTTAAAGAATTCCATGTAGAATAAACCACAGATATATTAAAAAATTAAAACATTGTGATTTATCGGAAAAAATGCGGTTTTAAATTGACAATTTAAATTTTCGCGCGAAAACGAACCTATGGATGCGATGACGTCACTCCTGTCTGTCGCTGGTCGTAATTGTTCGTTGCTGGCTTTAAATTTTCATACTTTTGCATATTTTTACAATACCACTAATATTCCGAAAAAAAGTCGTGTTGACTCATGTTTTATGCCAATCTACTTCAACAAAGTTCCCAAATAAATTGTTTTTGACTGGAACTTCTGACCCAAAACTGAAAAAAAAAGTGGTTTCAAGCTGCGAAGAGAAATGACAATTATTCTCCAAAGACCATTATTCGATGCTTTCTCAGCATCGAATCACTTTGACGTAAGTCGGCGAATATACTTGTTATATGCTTAATTAATCTGCTTGTACGTAAAAACGCATTAGTAACCTACCTAATACTTACAAAACCTGTCTATAACATATTTTTAATTTTACAGTTGGAGAATGACGTCGAAAATTAGATAAAGTGTGGCACAATCTTCACATTGGCAGGACTGAACCAAGCTTTGCGTTTCATTTAAAATAACTGTAACACGATAACCTTCTTTATGTACTTTATGCTCCGGAGAACTCGACCTTTTACTGAACATAATTTTCCATCTCTTTTAATTTGGACATAGCCGATTGCATTATCGCCGTAAGATTTGTAGAAGCCGCTGAATAAAATACGAAGTTTAACAACTACGATTTTTACATACCGTAGTAATTTAGTCCCTTTCATTTGTACACTTAAAAACTTTGCACTTTGGACAAAAAAAGTTATAACCATGTCAACGCTAACTCTTGGTAAATTCCTGGAGTCTGCTTTGATAAACGCAACTTTCATTTTTATTAAATGTAAAAAAACGCAATAAATATTCCCATAAAATAATATTCACTTTAACAACCATAACCTCAAAGAAGTTGTAATAACAGGAGTGACGTCACTAAACGCTGATTGGTGTTTTAAAATACGTTCCGTTTCAAGTATTTTTAATTCGTAATAATTGTTAAAAAACAACATTATGTAAAATAAAAACGTTGCAGTAGCATTTCTTTTATATTTTTTTAACATTTTAATCATAAATTTTTCATAAATATTATATATGCATCTTCCCTATTCCCTAGTGCCTGAAAGGAAGGGTCTATGACCAGTGTGTGTTACCAGTTATGACTTATGGGACTGAGACGTGATCTCTGAATGTCGGCCTCATAATAAAAGTCAGAGTCGCGCAGCGTGCTATGGAGAGGGCTATGCTCGGTGTTTCCCTACGTGATAAGATCCGGAATACGGAGATCCGTAGAAGGACCGGTGTATACGACATAGCCCGAAGATTTAGCACACTAAAGTGGCAATGGGCAGGCCACATCGCTCGAGGATCTGACAACCGTTGGGTAAGAAAGGTCCTCGAGTGGCGACTACGTACCGGACGACGCAACGTGGGGCGGCCCCCAACAAGGTGGACTGAAGACATCGTCAAATGTGCTAGGATCGCTGGATGCGGATAGTGCAGGACCGCGCATTGTGGCGTTCTATGGGGGAGGCCTAT